TGTACCAATTTTCAAAGCGATCGCGATCTAAGATCTAAGATTTTCTTGTAGATGCTTGGGTTTTTTGGGTTTACCTTCAGACAATTCGATGACCTTATTCAATCTTTGCAGTGTTTCTTTCCCGTCGCAAATCAGACATTTAAATGTGGAAATGTTTCTAGAAAACCTAACGTTAATTAAAATCTTGTAGGCCCGCTTTGTTAATAATTCCACTTAATACGGAGAAATGTTTGATTAAAGAACGAGCAGAGCACACATTCCGAAAGCAAAGTAATTTTAGCTGAACAAATTAAGATATTCAATTAGGAACAGTACGAATAACCTCTTCTGGTAAGAGCTGTTTAATGCAATTTAAATGATACCCCCTAGGGAATACAAACAATCAGAGACGTTGCGCTGCATCACGGAAAGTAGACACTATATTTTCATTGTGTAAAATTCAAATCTTTACTTATATACCTAGTTGAGAAGGATTCACTCTCCAACTTCAAACGTTACCAAATTTATTTCGTCATTCCGCAACGTAGCAAGAGTAAATTACAGTAACGTCGTCCTTTATCGTTTTCTATTACAATAATTTTTCCAATGTGTGCTTGTTAGTGGAACGGTTATATCTTTTGAGTGTTAGTAAAGCGATTTGCGCTTAAATTGAATATACATACTAAAATTTTATATTGTATACACAGGACGAGGGATTATTATTATTATTACGCTGCTCTGAGGAGCAGAAATAAAATATTTCACAACGTAAAGCTCTCTACCTCTAAGATCAGCATAGCCGCATTGTTTGTAAGAGCTTCTTGAACGATAAATAGTAATTCTGTTAAGGTAAAGCAGATTTTAATAAGCAGGCTTACGTTTATAATTGAAGTGGACTAGATATGAAAAAAGAGGAGGTTGTTTAAGTGTTTCGTTAAAGGGTATACTTCTTACAAACAAAAGTAATGGCAAATCACCATGAGAAACCTCGGGAATTGAAACCCGGGCGAAAAGATTCAGTTATCCGCTATTTCTATTTTATTAATCCGCCCTTTTTTCAGGACAGTTTCTAAAGAATACTGAAAGAAAAACTGAAGACTGGCAACAATGACAACCCTAACTGCAGGCGATGGATCGTTGAATCGGTTTCTTTCACATTATTTTAATCCCGCCATTTTCCTTTTGCGTTCATCCTCTTTGACAAACATACCAATTCACATTCTCTTTGCTCTTACCGCCCTGCCTCCCGACTCTATCCTTATCTTCTCAATTTTTATGTCCTCCTCTATTGTTCTCCTTTCGTTTAGTCCCAGTACCCATATCTTCTATGTATTCCTATTCCCTCTGTATTGTCTACATCAAAACTCCTCTCACCATAACATCAAAATGGTGTTTCCTTATTCTAAACTCGTTTTTGAATTTCCTCACCCCTATTTTCCACACCTAGCTCATCGGCACTTTTTCTTAATTTCTTTTTTTGCCCCATTACCTCTGGTTGCATCTGGTATCCTAAATATTTAAATTCTTTTACTTCCTGCACTCTTTCCTCCATCCACTTCTATTCTCCCTTCTTTTCTTTGGTCCCCCTTTCTCAAATCTCGTCATCTTTAATTATTAGACATTTATTTCCATTCCTGTTTCTCCATTTTTTTTCTTTACGTAGGTACCGTAACACTGTCAATAGCATTTATACACATTAATTGTATACAGAGTGGCAATTTGAAAACTTACCACCTCCCATATCTTGGTAAATAAACGAGATATTTAAAAAAATCAAAATCCGTTTCGGTACTTCGGAGGGGGAATCACAATGACATAGTTGGCGACGCACCCCCTCCAACTCCCTGCGCCCCAGCCATCCCAACTTTTAAATCTTAAATAGTGACCCCCCTTTTGTGATACTTCGTTGGAAAGCTCTGAAAAAAAAATACATTTAGGTTAGTAATTATCGTGCAAATGTGGTTGCTTGATCTTTTATTTATCGCTTACTGCATTGCTATCTAGAAGATAGTAGTACAGAAAACGGATAAAGGAATAAAAAGACACATTCCTTCACCCATAACAGACATGAAAAATACACAAAATAAATATTAATAGCGTTTTTTCTTCTTAATTTAACCCATCAGCCAATAATGAAAACCATTTTGAACATTTATTGAAATAAAAGCCAACTTTAGAAAATGTATCATATTATGTAGTCTATTTTTTGATTTGCACGATAATTACTAATCTAAATGTAATGCTATTTGGCATGGTTGGAAAGCATTTTTTTCAAAGCTTTCCAACGACGTATCACACATGGTGGTCTCTATTTAAGATTTAAAAGTTGGGGTAGCTGGGGCGCAGGGAGTTGGAGGGGGTGCGTCACCAACTATGTCATTGTGATTCCCCCTTCGAATTACCGAAACGGATTTTGATTTTTTTAAATATCTCGTTTATTTACTAAGACATGGAGGGTGGTAAGTTTTCAAATTACCACCCTGTATGTGAAGCTAAGTACTCTGACTTTTTTGATGATTTAGAAACATTGAAGAAAAAAATATTAACATAATTGCGCTGTTTACTGTAAGTTATATTAGCTAAGGTGTTAAATAATCAAATAACGGCTTAGCAATAAATTAGTTCAAACTCAATATAAATCGAATAGAAAAGCTGGAATTCACCAATCCAAAATTCGATTAAATCCACCTCAATGACGGATAAGGGTTTATACTCAATCCAAAATTACCTCGGGAATAACACAACATCCGTTAATCGCCATAAAATAATAATAATACTTCAAAATGTTGCGATTACAACGTCATTTTTAGCGATGAATACAACTACTACCGACAACAAATACAGGCGACCCGCGTTAAGCCGAATACGAATGCGCGTTGAGCGGCAAATTCGAATATGCCCAAAGGCCGCGTTACTGGTGCAAATTCTAGTCAATGGTGGCTGAAAAACTGGTGTACGACGCTAAGTTGCTAAGAGACACATTCACGTTCTGGAGAACGGGTCGATAGGGTGGATTAATTTTAATTTTAAAACCCGAATATCCCGAAAGTAAACCATATTTGATCAATACGATTAACGGCCCCGTATCCCAAAACCGAATGTCCGAAAAATCTCTCTAGCTTAATCCCTGCCTAACTTCTGAATTAATTAACGCTCCTTTCAAATGACGTCTAATAATTAATTGAACGATCTTTCTAAGAGCTAATCGGAATCGCTTACCCCGGCTGTTCCTTGAGAACCAACGCATTCATTTTTTTAAAAGAATTTTACGTCAATTTCTTAGGTAATTTCTAATGATTTTACGCCACATCCAATGAGAGCAAGAAAGTGCCGCCGTCCACTTAATGACAATAGAAAGCCTTAAAAGACAAAAAAACCAACGGAGACTTAGCGAACTCTGAAAATTACAGAAGGCACTCTTTCCATAAACCCCCCGTAATTTGGATAGCACTGCAACGCTATTCTAGACCAGTTTATCGTTTTCCCTGTAGAACTTTCTAGGATTCTTCTAGAAATGTCTAGGCTTTTTCGAAGGCGAAGGCTATTTAGAGCCTTCCTAGGAGTACTTAGGTTTCTATAAGAGCTTTAAATGCACTTTTCATAGTTTGTATTCTATTTTCGAGAGTTGTAGGCAATGAGTCTTCGCCCTTTTCCAGACTTTTATAGAATCTCCATACTCTGGAAAGAACCAGCAGGCTTTCAAAAATTCTTTGAACGCGTTTGAGGGTGCAGTAGCAGTATTCTACGGTATTTACAGAACTTGTCTAACTCATGGACAAAAATGATCTTTTTTGCAGCCAACAACACGGTTTCATACCCGGCAAATCTACTAGTACAGCCACAGATCTAAACACTCGATCTGTGGTACAGCTCTCAATAATTTAATGTTAAATATTTTAACTGGTTTAAAAGGGGAGAAGTGGACAGCTAGTGTTAATTGTGACCTATAAAAAGCATTTGATGTGATTAATCATACTATTCTATTGAATAAATTATTTCATTATGGTATTAGAGGAATAGCTTTACAGTTAATAAAATCATATCTAATTAACAAAGAGCAGTTTGGACAGTTTCACATACCGTAAACGGTAGCAACACTTCGATTGAATCCGACCGACGGGTTGTATCAAGTGGGGGCCTCAAGGCTCCGTCTTGGGACCTTTACTTTTTGTCATTTTCCTTAATGATTTGCCATTTAATGTTGGATCACTTGAATCAGTTTGCGGGGTATCTATGTATGCCGACGACACTAGCTTTGTTGTCACTGACACATCACAGTCACAACTTTCAAATAATCTGATACAAGTACTATCTCAAGCCGGTGCCGACAAGTTCCTCGAATGCAATTGCTCGAAATCAATTGCTCGAAATCATTTGCTCGAAAATCAATTGCTCGAAAGTCAATTTTCTCGAATTACAAATTCCTCGAACGGCAATTGCTCGAAAACGGTTTGCTCGAATTAAGTTCGCAATTAACTTAAATTTATGCATGCGTGATCAAGTGAAAGGTCTTCCATACGTTTTGCCTATACTATGCTTATACCTAAAGAGATGTACTTCACATCCGTTCAGTAGTGTGGTCATGATAATGAAAATAACCTGAACATAAAAAGTGAGAACATATATTGTTGATTTGGGTTCTTGGGTTTTAAAAATTAAAAAAACAAGTGTCCATATTGGTGAAAGTCATTCAATATATGTAATATGAGGTATGCACCATAATAAGGTTTTCTTGGAGAAAGCAAGTCATGATCAGTTTAATGTAATTAATGATTATTCATCTTCTCACGAATGATTTCATTATGTTAATCTGCATTAGGGTTTTCATTAGAGTGTATAATAATTGCTCCGTAATTATCCTTAGGTTAATGAGATGGTTGTTATTAGAAATGATGGTTATTCCTAATAGGTGATTAACATCAGAATGCTTACAATGAAATTTGGAAGGAGAAATTCCCTATAAATAGCCTAGTAACCCAAAAACGTTTGTTAGTTCAAAATTTGAAAGCTCACAAGTGAACATGGCGTTAGAGTTCGTGTCCAGTGAGAAAGGGAAATCCAAGTTGTTTTTCGAAAGTTTTTTGTTTATCAAGGATAAACAAGTTGATACCAAAATTTATTGGAAGTGCGAGCACTCCAAGAAAATGAAGTGCAAAGCTCGTGTGATTACGGTGAATAACTTTGTGTCGTCAAGCAATAACGACCACAACCACAATGCCGACGCAGCGCAGCTGGAAGCCAATAAGGTCATGCAGAAAATAAAGGAAGACGCAGAAAACACAAGAGATACACCTCAGTTCATTGTGTCCCAAGCTTCTGCTGGTTTGGGAAATGCAGTTGCAGCTAAATTACCAACAGTCAACAATATTAAGCGGACCATTAGGAACGTCAGAGTGAGAGAAAACGTTGCACCGGCCATACCAAGACATCGGGAGGAGATCATTTTCCCAGAAGAGTTTACAATTACCACAAACGGCGAACTTTTTCTCCTGCACGATTCAGGGCCAGTAAATGACAGAATTCTGATTTTTTCAACCGCACGTAACATCAACCTTCTGGCGATGTCCCAGCATTGGTATGCCGACGGCACATTCAAAGTAGTTCCACCGCTTTTTCTACAGCTCTATACCATCCACGGGATAAAAGACCATGTAGCTATCCCTTTAATATATGCTCTTCTACCAAATAAGACAGAGCAAACCTACTTAAATCTTCTTCGAGAAATAAAAAACCTACTTCCAGCTGATGATGCACAACCACAGACCATCATGACAGATTTCGAAGTAGCAATGATAAATGCCATAAGAATTGAGTTCCCGCAAACCATACATCGTGGATGCTTCTTTCACCTCTGTCAAAGTATTTTCCGACACATTCAGGAAAATGGCTTAAAACGGGAGTACGAGAGAAATCCAGAAGTTGCGTTGACATTAAAACTGCTTCCAGCCTTGGCATTCGTTCCACCTCAAGATGTAATTCCTGCTTTTGAAGACATTTGCGAGCAAAACATTTTTTCTCCTGAACTGCAAGTTATTGTTGATTATTTCGAAGACACGTGGATCGGTCGCCCTCAACGACGTGGACGGCGCCCGCCCCATTTCGCGATCAACATGTGGAATTGTTTCGATGCCGTACAACATGGACTTCCAAAAACAAACAACGCAGTGGAGGGATGGCATCGAGCTTTCCAAATGCAACTGTGTGCAGACCACCCAAACATCTGGAAATTTATTTCGGCATTAAAGAGGGAGCAGAGTATAAACGAATTACGAATAGAGCAACATATCAGCGGGCAACCACCTACCATCAGTCGTAAGGTATACCGTGATTGTGCACAAAGACTTTTAACACTAGTAAATAGTTATGCACCTGACATAAATATATATGATTATGTTCGTGGAATAGCACATAATATATCATATTGACAACATGTAATTTTTGTTTTTCATAATATGTACCTTCCTAACTGTATCACATTCCTATATTTAGCAATATAAGCATTACTTGGTTGTTTGTGGTTTTCTTATATTTACAAATCAATGATTCGAGTTAAGGCTATCTCACAACTTTATCTTTCGAGTAAAAGATATTCGAGGAATTGCTGATCGAGCAACTTACAATTCGAGCAAAATTTCATTCGAGCAACTTACTTTCGAGCAATTGATCTCGAGCAATTGGCTTTCGAGCAATTGCATTCGAGGAATTTACCTAGACCCTCTACACATCGTTGGTTCTCAAATAATCAATTGCAATTAAATGTCGATAAAACCAACATCATTGTATTCGGGAAAGATGTTACGCAGTTTGAAAATTTTAATTTTTTTGAAACTGAATCTCTCTTCGTCATCTAAGACGCTTATATTACTATGATACATTAAGGAGTGTATATTTTGCATACTTTGAATCTCATTTACGATTCGGTATACTATTTTGGGGAAACTCAAAGCTTATAAGCAGTATCTTTAAGCTGCAGAAAAGAGCCATCCGCATTCTGGTTGGAATGGGTCCACGGGAGTCATGCCGGTCTCATTTCAAAGAATTAAAAATCGCGACCTTATACAATTAAACTGATTTTTCTGTTTTAATTACAAAGTTAAAAATTATTAAAGATCAAACATTCATAACAAATAATAAATTTCTTCCATGGAGATCGCAGTTGGAAGCGTCCCCATTACACTTGCCGCATTGCCACGTTGTATAGCAATACTGATTTTTTGTCTTAAATAACTAGTAGCTCGAGGTTCTCCAGTAATACTGGCAATATGTTTTCCTAAACACTCCACAAAATTACGAGCCTCTCTACACCAAGGTCCCAAAGTCTCTACAATTTTTTGATTCTTTTAAATAACTACCTACATATTTTAAATTGTTTGTATGTGTACTCCTGTATTGTAATATTTAAAATTTTTTTGTGTGCACATCTGTATTGTAATAATAAATTATTGTTTACTGTGCAAGATTATTGAACACCTTACCGTAAATATGAATAAAGTTTATCTATCTATAACGCGTCTTCTAGCAATTATTGCATTTTGTTGTAATCGTTGACTTTGACTAATGTCGCTTTATTTGTTTCAGGTAAATTATGCTATGTGGTATTCGGGTAACGGTAAGACAAGCTGACAATATAACATCAAAAGCAAAACACATTTTATTAAACAAAAATTTAAGAATTAGCTCTTTTGATCTTAAGATAAATATCGGTTTCAGGTTTATATGAACCCAATCCACGCGATTTTTAAAGACATTCACTAGTATCCATTAGTAACGTTGAATAATGTGTTACATAAAACATATAATTTAAATAAGACACTTTACCCTGATACACCTCACTTTTGCCAAACGACAGCGATATTTGGAGGCCATTCTTTTATTTTCAAACTAATCGAAATACACTTCAGTCAACAGATATTGATTTAGGGTTGTTAGCTGCTGTGCTTTCTCCAACTTCAAAATTAAGTAGGTTATTAAAGACACGAATACGCCGCCTATGCGCCAGTTATTTATTTGTTCCAGCTTTGTCTGTTCTCCAAGAAAATTATCGACGTTTCCTTTCACTTTTATATTTGTATGTTATGAAGAAGGAAATAATTGCGTTGTTATGCTTAACATGCTGGGAATTCGACGAAAAGAAATCTTGGGTCGCAATTTCCAACTAAGATTGGATAAATGGTCATTCACCACTTGACGTCAAATCAAAGCTTCTTAATTACATTAAAGTGCACTTCTTTGTATTGAAATTGCGGCTAACGGGAGTAAATTATCGTCATTAGTCCCAATTTGGGAGATAAATTAGAGCTGAGCGCTACTGTACAGGGTTGTTAGAGCATGACTATTTACTCTATGGTAATACTCAGACAGGTTATTTATTGCAGCCTGTTTAACTGAGTCTGGGCTACTTTTGCTTCCGTTTTGGGCAACCATTGAACCATACCACCGTAAAGTAGTTCAGGATAAGCCTACTTATAGTGTCGTATAGTAAATTTGTTGTTGGCATCAGTTACCACTGAAAATAGTGGTTACTGAGCCCCACCACCACGACAAGATGTATCACTTACGAGTTACAGTGGTGATAGCCAGAAGGAGAGGCGGCGATTTAGGCCCTATTTCCTCCCCATAAGACTTAGATAGCCCATTAAGACCGTGGCAACCTTGTTGGCCGCCATGGTTCAGTGAAGTTTCCAATTTTTTCATAAGGAACTCTTCCCTTATGCGTTATCTTATTACTCTCTCCGTCGTTTTAAGTATGAAGGACAATGGACTGATAGCTCTTGGGTTGGTTCCTGTACCTCTTGCCCACCTTAGGACTAAAAACCAGGTACCTAATGGGCGTTAATGTCTCGGTCAATTCCATCTCCTCCGGCTGATTTATGATTTACAATCATCCAACGGACCCTGTTTGGTGGGCATCTACAGCCACTAAGACCGTAGTCAGATTTGTTAGCAGGACTGGTAGATGGAGGCTTTCTGCTTGCTCAACGCAACCCGAGAAGTGCGTTCGCTTCAAAAACTGCAAAATGTCTCTAGAACCTTTAGAACCTTTTTCTTCTGGTAATTTCTTCTTCCATCCCTCCATATTTCTCTTCCATTTTTTTAGAAATTTGTTAGAGATTTTCCAATTCAAAGTATTACTCCGGGGGCCCGATCCCTTCCTCAATCTTCGCAGCTTAGGTGGCTTTTGAAAAGCACTCTTCACACCTGTCGTATCAAGGGATTTTTCCTCAGGTTGAACACGAAGTTCGGAAACCTTCCATCCATTAATTTTGTCATGATTCTGGTTGAAGTGTGTAGGAATTTTCAGGTTTCTCCCCGAATACGGGACAAGGAGATCGTTTAAACATATAATTTCAACCAGACAACGTCTTAAAGAGGTCCGTGAAGTTGGCAATGCCCATTTCACCAAACTTAAAATTGTTGTAACCATATTTTTGTGCTAATTTTGTGCTATTTATTGCCGATAAACAAAAATTTTGTGCTTTGGAATTTACCGAGTTATTCGAAAAAACAGATGGGTACGGCCAACTTCACTAAGCGATACCCATGTAATAATTTCGAAAAACTTATACTAATTAATTTTGTGCTAATTTTGTGCTATTTATTGCCGATAAACAAAAATTTTGTGCTTTGGAATTTACCGAGTTATTCGAAAAAACAGATGGGTACGGCCAACTTCACTAAGCCATACCCATGTAACAATTTCGAAAAACTTATACTAATTAATTTTGTGCTAATTTTGTGCTATTTATTGCTGATAAACAAAAATTTTGTGCTTTTGAATTTACCGAGTTATTCGAAAAAACAGATGGGTACGGCCAACTTCACTAAGCGATACCCATGTAATAATTTCGAAAAACTTATACTAATTAATTTTGTGCTATTTATTGCCGATAAACAAAAATTTTGTGCTTTTGTTTACCGAGTTATTCGAAAAAACAGATAGGTACGGCCAACTTTACTTAGCGTTACCCAAGTAATGATTTGGTTATTTATTGGCGATTATTACATAATGTTCTGCTATAATCTTGGTTATAATACTGAGTGAGCAACTATTACTTGTATAATCAAGAAAGTACGAACGACTAGCCGCATGCTGCCATAACCAACGATTTGTTTTGGTTTGTGGTACCACATTATTTAGTAGTAGAGTAGTTACATCTTCTTTAAAAAAAGATTTTTGGTTCCAAAAAAGTGGTGATACGGATACAGATTCTATGCGACGACAGAAAAAAATGCACAAAGAAACTGTAGTAAACGTTCAGGTGACAGCATATCCTAATCGAAAGTGTTTGTTGACAAGCTCATACAGATTAGATCTTTTATATGTGTACTACATCGTCATAGCTGTTTTTTCAACAACTTTACTATTCAACACTACGTCGATGTCTATTCAACACTACGTCGATGTCATTATTAACGTCACGTCTTTATGTAGCACACATATCGGAAAGGGTTCAAGTTAGGAATTTGGTGCAATGCTACAGGCCGTGTGCCGTTGAAGATTTTTCGTAATCCCATTGAAAATTTTTAATAGAGCTGGAAAAACGAGGAAACTATTACGAAATATCATATTCGTATATAAAATATTTATTCATAGGAAATAATTTCTCTTATAGATGATACCACAATTTATTAACTAAATTATAGTTGTGACTGTTCATTGTTGTGAATGTCAATCAATTTAAGATATAGAAAATGTTTCTAAAAGAAAATAATATTTAATTAAAAACTACCTACTTAGTAAATGCCAACAATTAATTCCCATTTAAAGACAAAATTAAAATATCGGGACAAAGGGGATTGAATGATAACTAAAATTACATTAGACTGCATAAATGTGGTTCAAATGAAATATTACCTAATATATTTTTTACTCGAATTTTTATTTTATAACTTTGTACCCAAGTTCTTACATGAACAGTGATTCATTTTAATTTTTAAATTTTGGAACGGAATGTGCTGTGTAGATTTAAACATAATGTATTCTAGAGATTAGAGATTTCTTACACAAGCTCTTTTGTACGATGGTTCAGAAGGGCCACCGCCCAACTTTTTTTCATGAAAATCTTGCACTTCGTGATTTAATCTCGCACTGCATGATTTTATCTCGCACTGCATGATTCTCGTACTGCATGATTTTATCTCGCACTGCATGGATTTATTTCGCACTGCATGAATTTATCTCGCACTGCATGAATTTATCTCGCACTGCATGATTTTATCGTGCACTGCATGATTCTCGTACTGCATGAAATCACGCAGTGCGAGATAAAATCATGCAGTACGAGAATCATGCAGTGCGAGATAAAATCATGCAGTGCGAGATTAAATCACGAAGTGCAAGATTTTCATGAAAAAAAGTTGGGCGGTGGCCCTTCTGAACCATCGTACAAAAGAGGTTGTGTAAGAAATCTCTAATCTCTAGAATAAATTATGTTTAAATCTACACAGCGCATTCCGTTCTAAAATTTAAAAATTAAAATGAATCACTGTTCATGTAAGAACTTGGGTACAAAGTTATAAAATAAAAATTCGAGTAAAAATTATATTAGATAATATTCCATTTGAACCACATTTATGCAGTCTAATGTAATTTTAGTTATCATTCAATCCCCTTTGTCCCGATATTTTAATTTTGTCTTTGAATGGGAATTAATTGTTGGCATTTACTAAGTAGGTAGTTTTTAATTAAATATTATTTTCTTTTAGAAACATTTTCTATATCTTAAATTGATTGACATTCACAACAATGAACAGTCACAACTATAATTTAGTTAATAAATTGTGGTATCATCTATAAGAGAAATTATTTCCTATGAATAAATATTTTATATACGAATATGATATTTCGTAATAGTTTCCTCGTTTTTCCAGCTCTATTAAAAATTTTCAATGGGATTACGAAAAATCTTCAACGGCACACGGCCTGTAGCATTGTACCAAATTCCTAACTTGAACCCTTTCCGATATGCGTGCTACATAAAGACGTGACGTTAATAATGACATCGACGTAGTGTTGAATAGTAAAGTTGTTGAAAAAACAGCTATGACGATGTAGTACACATATAAAAGATCTAATCTGTAAGAGCTTGTCAACAAACACTTTCGATTAGGATATGCTGTCACCTGAACGTTTACTACAGTTTCTTTGTGATTTTTTTCTGTCGTCGCATAGAATCTGTATCCGCTATCACCACTTTTTTGGAACCAAACATCTTTTTTTAAAGAAGATGTAACTACTCTACTACTAAATAATGTGGTACCACAAACCAAAACAAATCGTTGGTTATGGCAGCATGCGGCTAGTCGTTCGTACTTTCTTGATTATACAAGTAATAGTTGCTCACTCAGTATTGTAACCAAGATTATAGCAGAACATTATGTAATAATCGCCAATAAATAACCAAATCATTACTTGGGTAACGCTAAGTAAAGTTGGCCGTACCTATCTGTTTTTTCGAATAACTCGGTAAACAAAAGCACAAAATTTTTGTTTATCGGCAATAAATAGCACAAAACTAGCACAAAATTAATTAGTATAAGTTTTTCGAAATTATTACATGGGTATCGCTTAGTGAAGTTGGCCGTATCCATCTGTTTTTTCGAATAACTCGGTAAATTCAAAA